TCGGAGGCGTGAACAAGAGTGGCCCAAGGCCACGCAGCTCCTCTCCCACAAGCACCCTGTGAGTGGTGGCTGCCTTCACCCCGACGGTAAGGCAAAGTGCCCGCCTGTCCCTGGTGGCTTAGCTTCGTGTTCACACCACATCCTCAGAGGGTGACCCTCACAGGGCACCAAGAACCCCTGTGTGACTGGCAGCTCTGGTGGGGAGTCAGGAAGCAGGAGATGACAGCCACGTGGGAAGGACCTGCCAGAAGGAGATTCGTGGGGAGAGAAATACTCTCTCCTCTGGGAGCAGGATTTCATCTTTCCAACCAGCTCTCATTCTCCCCAGCGAGACGGGGACACCTCTGCTGGAAAGGCCACTCTGCCCTCACCACATGCTCATCGTGTGGAGAGCCATTTAGAAAAATAAAGACAAGCTACAGAGACAGTGCTTGGTCTCAGGAAACTCAGGAGGGGGCCTGCCACTGACCCGGGCTTGAGTGTCCGGAGCCCACAGGATACACAGGCTTCCAGAACACCCATGACATCCTCTAGCGACATTCCTCAGTGGCCCTGAATTCCACTTCAGCCCTGGGAGGGGACATAATGGGCCAGAAGATAAACAAATCAGCATGTACAGTGGGGACGACGGCCCCATTGACAAGCACAGTAATAGCAGCACAGAAACAACAAGAATGGTGGTGGTGGTGGTGGCCACACCCATGTGTGTGTGCGTGTGTGTGTGCGTGTCTGTGTGTGTGCGAGTCTGTGTATGCATGTCTTGCGTGTGCGTGTCTATGAGTCTGTGCATGCATGTGTCTATGTGTCTGTGCGTGCGTGTGTGCACGTGCACGTGTGCTCCCTGGGCCCAGTGTGGATGTGGGCTCCGTACTGATGTTCCCTCATTAGTCCTCACTCCTCCCCCTGCACGTGCCACCATCACCCATTTACACAGGATGAATGGGGGCACAGGTAGGACACTGCTGTGTTTCTCTAGCTACTGGGCTGGCGGCAAGGAGGTGGAAAAAGAATTCCAGGCCCCATGGAGCTCATGACACAGAGACGTCACAGCCCAACGCAGGACAGACTAGTCATCGTTCCTGTGTCTGGAACTCAGGTCTGCACAATGAGGCGAGCCAGGAAGGCCATGCATTCACGCGGCAGTGCGCTGCAATGGGGGGACCGCCCACAGGAGCGTCACACTGGAGACGTGTGCCAGTGTTTCGGGGTGCCTGGAGGGGAAGCTGGCCTCAGAACTACAGATGCAGAGGAAACAGGAGGAGGCAGGCTGGAGAGGCAGGTGTGACCTGGTGGACAGGTCACATGAGGCACCCGAGTGTGAAGAATGGGGCCTGTGGAAAGTTTTAGCATCAAAACTGACAAGAAAAAGAAAAATCAGAGAAGTAGAGCAGTGTGTAAATTAGCCCAAGTAGCATGGATAAAGTGGGAGGTAAGGCGAGAAAGACAGATGGGCTCCTTCTACCTTGGGATGGATGAGGACGGCACATCCTCTACTCCACACCCAGCCTTCTCCTGCTCAAGGGGGTTTTCTTGGTGGACAGCTGATGCCTGGAGGAAAGGATGTTTCACCAGCAGTAAGCCAGGAAGGGGGAAGCTTGCTCCACCGAGGTGACAGCCAAGTGCTGCGTTGGGGAGCAGATGTTCTCCTGGGGTGAACCGCCCTGGAGGCCATTCCAGGGTGACCTGGTCACTGACCACGTTGCATTTAAGGAATTAGTTCTGCCTCAGGGAACACTCAACACATACGTGGCATAGCACAGTGACCGCGTTTCTTGCCGCAATTTAAAAAAAAGGAATCCTTTCCCTATCAGGAGGTTTTAAGAATGGTCTCTGAAAAATAACTTGACATGTTAACACATTTTCCATTTTCCCACTTTAAAAAAAAAGTGGGGAGGGCGTCAAGCAGTTATGAAAAAGTCTTTCAGTCTAAGATCAGGAAGTTTATTCTAGTCAGTTCTCCCCCATTAGCTGGTAAAAGGGGAGACGTATTCCCACTCGGATGCTAAGATAATATTATTCATCCTCCAAGCGTGGTTTAGTTTTGTTGTTGATTTCTTTAAAGTCACTTTAAACATTTACTTAACACCTGGATTTACCAGAGCTTTGTAAGGGATGAGGAGGACTGAGGGCCCATGTGAACATTTTCCTGATCAAGGTTTACAAGCATCTCTCAGTGATTTCACTATCACTAGAGTCCTAGAGAAATGTGGGGTTAGCCACCCGGGGAGACAGCTGGTCTACAGTTTCAGCTGATTCACAAAAGCTCACCACGGACAGAAAAGCAAGTTCAGCATAATCTATTTTTCTTAATCTTTAAGGGGGCATCAGGTCATAAACCTCATCCACTTTTACAAGACGTTTATGAACAGAAACTGAAGATCATATTGAATGGAAAATGAAATTGGGCTCCTTGATGTCATGGGCTGCCACCTCCCCATAAAGATCAACGTCAAATGGCTACACGTGAGCTGTGAACCCAGCCTGGCTTTCCATCGAGTGGTCAGCATGGAGGCAGCAGGAAGTGCTGCTGGGTCTGCAATGAGCAGGAAGAAGGGGCCATACAACCCTGTGGGCTGGAGAGGTGGACAGAACCAGATGACCACTGCCCCTGAGGATAACCCTCTTGGTACATTTTGGAGGGCACCAATAAGAAACACAGTCTGACTCCCCCACAGTTAGATGCAGGGACCCCTCAGTTCTAACCAGCTGCTTATGATTGGCAGCAAACCACCTACCACCCTGTGCCTCAGTTTCCCCATCTTTAAAACCAGAGAGTCCGACCAGGCAGGCCCCTACAGTCCTGTCCCGCTCTGCGGTGCCAAGAGCCAGACCCTGGGTTATATTGTTTGTCTCTAGGGTTGATCTTTTAAGGAGGAAAATACAGCTACAGAAGAAAAGCTCCTTGTGACTATGCACACTCCAGGGCCCCATATCGTGCACAGTGCTCTCAGCCCAACCTTTGAAGACAGAGAACACAGGCGATAAGAGCATGAGTGCTGATTCCAAATCCTGCCACTTTTTGTGTGACTTTGAGCAAGCCTCAGCTTACCCCAATGTAAAATGGGACTAATACCGTTTGCGTGCCAACTCTCATTGTTTTCACCTGTCAAATATATTCGTGCCTTTCGTGCAAAATACGGCAACTTCTAAACGTCACATGGCAGAGGTGTAGAGGGAGGGGGGAGCAGGGCACAGGGATGAGAAGGAACTTGTGGAGAAATACAGTGATGGTTCCAGGGGTTCAGCTATACTCCTCCTGGTACCAAAGCTGCTGTCACTTCTGTCTAGTTTTGCCAGGGTCTTCCCCAGCCCTCCGGGAAGCCTGCCCCTGAGGCTCTCTGCAAACCCACCACTCCTAGGACTGGAGAGTCCAGCCCTCCTCCAGCACACACAACGGCCTTGGAGCCTCCCCACAGGACATCAGCTTCTGGGCTAACATCATCAAATGCTCCATACCACTACTCTGGTTCTCCAGGAAAGAAAATAACTTTTTTTTTATTTGAGGAAGATTGGCCCTGAGCTAACATCTGTTACCAATCTTCCTCCTTTTTTTCCTCCCCAAAGTCCCAGGAGATAGTTGTATGTCATAGTTATACATCCTTCTAGTTGCTCTGTGTGGGACGCCGCCTCAGCATGGCTTGATGAGCGGTGTGTAAGTGCACGCCCAGGATCTGAACCGGGGAACCCCGGGATGCAGAAACAGAATGCGTGGACTTAACCGCTATACCACTTGGCTGGCCCAGAAAATAACTTTTTTTTTAAAGAAAGAAGCTAAAAATCACGTAAACTCACAATTTTGAATAGACTTCAAATATCTTTCAAGGGCTTAATTGTTGGTTCTTGTTGATGATTAAGAGCAGAAAAACTAAGCAAGTTGTCCCCAAATTTTAAACGTCCTCCTTGCTCTCTATTAAACGCAGGACACTGGTGGCAGTTCAACAGGGATTCCCAGCGAAGCACAGCCCTTCCTCCTCTCTCCCTCATACTCATCAGGACTTTGGCTGCCTAAGGCACAGGTCTGCAGTCACCATTGCAACAAGGATTCCACGCCACGAACCACTGGGTTGAAAAGACTACAGTCTGAGGGCTGCAGACCCACGAAGCAAAAGGAGCTAGCCCCAGGTGGGGAGAATTGGGGCTAGGAAAGGCAGAATCTAGTCTCTCCACTGAAGGTACTGCTCAGCTATCAAGCCCAAGTCCCGAGGAAAACAGGCCCAACCTCCAGCAGCCAACAGACAGCAGCAGGCCCTGATGTTAGAGTCGGGCTCCAGATCGGGGGTCCAGGACAGGAAGGGGGTATCCCAGACTGGGGAGAGGGGGCTGTCAGGTGAGAAAGAGGAGGATGGGCAGGAGCAGGACTTCCAGGTCCAGCAGAGGGAGACAAGGAGAGGAGGAGCAAGGGACGCGGTCTGGGTCCCAGCAGAGAGGTGGGTAGGTGAGGTTCCCAATCCAGAAAAGGTAGAGCGTGGATAAGGGCCTTCTGGTCTCGCAGACAGAGAAGGCTGAGGAGGGGGCCCTCTTGTCCAGCAGAGGGAGGGTGCGGAGGGCGGGTGCCAGGTCCAGCAGAGGGAG